CTTTAGCAATTGGTAAACGTTTAATTCACACCAATCAATTCACACTCCACTTTCGTTACAAGACCACTGCATTCATGTTTCATTTCATCTTCCATTTCTTATCCAATTCACAATTCAACTACGTCTCAGAACCTTCACTTGAAGTCTAATAAGACAGTAACTCATGTCAAATAATTTCCCATTTCCCATTAGATATGCATATGAGCAATACCAACAAATCAACAGATAAGCGTATGAGCATATATCAACAATTCAACAGATAAGCAATATGAGCTAGTATCAACACTTCAATAGATAAGCATATGAGCTGTATCAATTTTCCGATTTTAGTAGGTCCAGCCCCTTTCTTCCAATAAAACCGTTTGGTTTAGAGGTCCAGCCCATTTCTTCCAATAAACCGTTTGGTTTAGAGGTCCAGGCCCCTTTCTTCCAATAAACCGTTGGTTTAGAGGTCCAACCCCTTTCTTCCAATAAACCGTTCACCATAAAACAACATATAGTATATCAACACATTGAATAGTAATACATATCAATCAATACATAACGTTAATGTATTCTATCAACCGTCATACTCTATGACATATCCAATTGATTAGTTTTAGTTTGCCTAATCATCATGCATTGTCTACAACAATCAAAACTACCCTCCACCGGTAGCCCAAGCAATTATTTCTAAACAGATAATAAAAGCTCCATCAGATAAAATTATCAACATTTTCACAAATGAGCGATGAATAAATCCAACTCCACTAGTCCATCTAATAATGAGCCAATTTCATTATATTCACTTCAATTTCACAAATCCATAACTTTCCCAAATTTAATTATATCAATTAATCAATACACAAATTAGGGCTTTCTCCCCCAACTCTCAATATTAACCATAGGTTCAAATATCAACAACCAACACTCAAATCATCATTTTTAGACCCAAAATACATGTTTAAGAATCAAAATAACAAACCCTTGTTTATACCATTGTGAAACCCTAAGTCTCAAAATCAACCAACCTCAACACTTTATCAAAACTACCAATAATCTATGTCGAAGACCATAATAGTGAGTAGGAATCCCTACCTCAAATTTGGGGCTCAAGGGAAGAAGATGACGGAACTCAACGTGCTCCAAAACTTAAAATTTTCGGATCAAAGGAAAGCCCTCGACGATCAACCCAACTTTTGTAAAGACCAAAGGTGAGGAAAATACCCTAGCTAGATCAATACTTAGAGAGAAGTTATGGTTTTAGAGAGAGGAGCTCTCAAATGGCTTTTTGGAAAAGTAAGAGAGAGAAACGGGTGTGAAAAAGTGATTCAAAAAGTGATTTCACGGACTGATATAATCGACTCCCCGCTCGAGCGTGGAAACTCCCGCTCGAGCGTCAGACACAGACTCACGCTCGAGCGCGGAAAGAGCCGCTCGGGCGTAGATTGCACACTTCCAGAAGTTTTGCAGACTAGGTCCCCGCTCGAGCGTCAAACTCCCCGCCCGAGCGAACGAACAAAATCAAAGGTTCACGCTTGAGCGACAAAACTCCCGCTCGAGCGCACGAAGACCTGCAGAGGAAAATACTGGGAGATGGGAATCTACGCTCGAGCGTCAAAACGCCAGCTCGAGCGGAGAAGCAACAACGAAGGGCTCGCTCGAGCGTCAAAATCCCCGCTCGAGCGTGAAGGCTAATTCTGGGCATCAACTCTAAGGTTTCTAAGTTCAACCAACCTGTTTCAAACCTGCCCAACACGAGCGACAAAACTCCCGCTCGAGCGCACGAAGACCTGCAGAGGAAAATACTGGGAGATGGGAATCTACGCTCGAGCGTCAAAACGCCAGCTCGAGCGGAGAAGCAACAACGAAGGGCCCGCTCGAGCGTCAAAATCCCCGCTTGAGCGTGAAGGCTAATTCTGGGCATCAACTCTAGGTTTCTAAGTTCAACCAACCTGTTTCAAACCTGCCCAACACAACCCAAGACTCAACTACAAAGAGTAAAGGCCTGCAATGAGAATAGGACAACAACAAATCTACGGAACCAAGTCCGGATTATAGTTAAGCAACAATAGGGAAAACCGGGATCGCTATAGGGATAAACTAGAAATATTTAAGAATCAAATGGATAAGGAAGGTACTTGGGATTTAAAAGGTGATGCTAACACTATGTGGAACTCGATGGCCAATTGTATGAGGAGAATCTCAAGGGAAGTCCTTGTAGAGTCGAAAGGAACGGAACCTAGCTCTAGGGAAACTTGGTGGTGGAGGGAAGAGGTTCAAGCGGTAGTTAAGGCAAAAAAAGAGTGCTTTAAAAAGTGGCAGAAGGATAGAACTGAGGAAAACCTTAAGAGCTATAGATTTGGCTAATAAGGAGGTCAAGAAAGTAGTGAGAGAGACCAAGTTGAAAGTATATGATGACCTATACACTAGACTAGATAGTAAGGAGGGAGAGAAGAGGGTATACAAACTTGCTAAGATACGAGAGAGAAAAACAAGAGATTTTAATCAAGTAAAGTGCATCAAGAGTGAAGATTTTAAGGTGTTGGTGAAGGATGATGAGATTCAGGAAAGATGGAAGAATTATTTTGAGAAACTATTAAATGAGGAATATGGAGGTACGACAATAAGGGAAGAAATAGCCCGTAATACGATAAACCAAGACTATAGGTTTTATCGCAGGATTAGGAACTTGGAAGTGGAAATTGCACTTAAGAAGATGAAATCAAATAAGGCTTTAGGACCCGATGATATCCCTATTGAAGCTTGGAAGTGTTTGGGTAAAAAGGGAGTTGGTTGGTTGACTAGGTTGTTTAGCAAAATTTTGTTGACTAGGAACATGCCAGATGAGTGGAGGAAGAGTATTTTAGTGCCAATCTATAAGAATAAAGGTGATGTCCAGAATTGTAACAACTATAGAGGAATCAAGCTAATGTGTCATATAATGAAAGTGTGGGAGAGGGTGATGGAACGCCGATTGTGAGATATAACAGAGGTGTCAGAGAATTAATTTGGGTTTATGCCTGGTAGGTTAACAATGGAAGCGATCTATCTTTTGAGGAGAGTAATAGAAAAGTATAAAGAAAAAAAAAGAGACATTTATATGGTGTTTATCAACCTTGAGAAAGCATATGACAGAGTGTCCTGGGATATAATATGGTGGGTGTTAGAGAAGAAAGGGGTGACAAAAGGTTACATTGACCTGATTAGAGACATGTATGAAGGGGTGGTGACCACTATTAGATCGCCAGCTGGAGAGACAAATGAATTTCCTATCACTGTAGGGTTATACCAAGGATTTACCTTAAGTCCTTATCTTTTTGCTTTAGTTACGGACGAGTTGACGATAAATATTCAGGATGATGTGCCATGGTGCATGCTTTTTGCAGACGATATTGTGCTAGTGGATGAGACTAGAGAAGGAGTTAACACAAAGTTAGAGATTTGGAAAAAAGCTCTTGAATCTAAAGGATTCCGAATAAGCAGAACTAAGACAAAATACATGGAGTGTAAATTTAGTAACAGTAACAATGAAAGTAGAGGAGAAGTGAAGATTGAGAACCAAAAATTGCCTAAGAGTGAACATTTTTGTTATTTAGGGTCGATTATCACAACAGCGGGAGAGATTAATGCAGATGTGGCCCATAGGATTAAGGCGGGATGGTGTAAGTGGAGAAGTGCGTCTGGGGTATTGTGCGATAAACGAATACCTACTAGACTAAAAGGTAAGTTTTATAGAACGACTATTAGACCAGCTATGTTGTATGGGACGGAGTGTTGGGCAACCAAGAAACAACATGTAGATAAGATGAGTGTGGCTGAGATGAGGATGCTAAGGTGGATGTGTGGTAAGACTAGACAAGACAGGATTAGGAATGAGTGTATTTGGGAATGGGTAGGAGTAGTACTGATAGAAGATAAGTTGAGAGAGAATCGTTTGAGATGGTTTGGTCATATGCAACAGAGACCAACAGAGACAGTAGTGAAGAGATGTGATGCTGTAACGGTAGATGGAAGTATTAGGAGACGGGGTAGGCCTAGATTAACGTTGACTAGCATTTTAAATAGAGATATGAATCTATTTAATTTGACTAATGAAATGGCCTTTGATAGGGCCGCGTGGAGCAGAAAGATTCATGTAGCCGACCCCATTTGATGGGACTAAAGGCTTGGTTTGGTTTGGTTTGAACTCAAGAATTTGACAAGGTTGATCACACTCATTTCCTTTCCACACTTGGATTGTTAAATTGTTGAAGAGAACCCAAAATCTATTGTTCGGATCTTGATTCTTTGATTCAAGGATGGGCACCAGTCTCTCATGTTAGCTCCACCAAAGCTGAAGGTTCACGTCATGATTTGGGATCCAACTAAGAAAGTTACATATTTTTTTTGAAGGACTTTAGCTATTTTTTTGTCCCCAAAATTTGTTAGTAATTTTTTTTTTTTTAAGAACTTTCTCAATCCGCCTAGTATAAAGGATCTAAAAAGTACATTTTTATATAAAAATAATAAAAAATTCACTAAATACAAAAAAAAAATGATAAATTACAAATACACACCTTGAGATTTGCTTAAAATATAAATTATTTCCTGTGATTTGAAAAACTACAAAATTCATAATTGTCTCATGTACAATAATAAAATAACCTAAATTATTAATTGAAACATATTTTTATCATTATTAAAAACTGTTAATTGACTTGATAATTTATTAATAAAAAAGGCGATTTGTTGTGAAATTAAAAATCTCAAGAGGTAGAATATAATTTTCAAAACTATAGGAATAATTCGTATTTTAATCAAATCTCAAGAGATATATTTATAATTTACTCAAAAAAGAATAAAAAAAATCCTAGTTCATTGAGTAAAAATGTGAATTTTTTTTTAAAAAATCACTAAAAATGAAGGAGAAAAAAAGATCAAAAAACAAAAACAAAAAAAGTCAATCCAAAACCACATTTAAGTAACAACTTCACATCAATTATAAACTACCGTTCTAATACCCGCATGTAGTAAGTTTGAGTCGAAACTTTTGTTATGTAGAATGAAACAAATGGCATGTTCGTACATATAATGAGACAGTGATCAAGTCTCTGTTTATTTATTGTATAAAATCTACTAAAAGAAAAGAAAGAATACAACAGAAGAGATTGGGGGTGTGAAAATGGAGCATTTCATAAGTTGATGCTGATACCACAACAGTAGTTCCACTTGTTTACCTGTAACCAAAGATCCTATTTAAACACCGTAAAGCAAAGCAGGATTAGAGAATGAGCTATAGGCCAAAATAACATTATATATAAAAATATTCCCGATATTCCACTTTTCCCAAACTAATTCCAAAATTGTTACAAGTTCTGTCAAATCAGGCATTTGGAGCCTATGCATGTTATAGGTGGGATGTATTTGGTTTGTTTATTTTGGGTATAATGCATTGAGCTTGAATTTGGCGATAAGCATCCAGTTTAGAGCATTTACAACTTTAGACATAGAAGAGAAACAAGAGAGAGGAGAGAAAAGAAGGGGTATTTGAAAATAGAGTCCTTTATGTTATGGGGATGAAATTCCTAATGAGGCCTAAGGTTGGATGGGAAATCAAAACAACGAGTGAAATTCCTAATGGGGTCTAAAGTTGGATGGGAAATCAAAACAATGAGAACAAGAAATTTTGCCTTCGGAGGTTCCAACTTCTTGTTTGCAAATGAAAGGACCACAAAACAAAAATAAAAAAGAACAGGTTTTCATCCTAAAAAGTCCATCGATATGGAAATTTTAATACAATTCAATTAGGGAAATATACTTTATTTTGATAAGATGCGACACTTTCATTAAAAATGAGAAAAAAAATCAGTAAACAAATAGGCAAAAACTTCATACTAGTAGCTACTAGTAAAGAATTAGCTAAAGAACAACTTCACCTGTTAGATCAGCAACAATGTGATGATATGAAGGACTGGAACAATTTGTGTATTTCTATAGACTGCCACTGCCACCAAATCAAAGAGAAACAAAATGAGTACATAACTTAGTACAACCGGCCAAGAGTTCAACATAGGTAATTATGAATTTCATTAACCATTTGAAAAAGATAAATAAGAAAACTCACTAAGGCGGTGTGAATTCTACAAATTTGATTGGTATGATAGAGATGTACAAAGGCACTGAACTGCTAACACCTGTTTCTTAACAGATATTACGTGATGCAGCAGAAAGATCCAGGTCATCCACTTTCCTTTTCTTCCTTAATGATTGAAAACTGCAAGGAAAAAAACCAAAGAAACAAAACTATTCCTTGGTTTGACATAATCTCAACTACGAGTTAACGACTAATTGCTTCCATTGCCAACCGTACCAAACGTAATAATCCATCCACATCTTGGAAGCTGAAATCAAGAGCCCTTTTAACAGAAATTATATCTTCTCTGTACTGAGCCCTTTTAATAGAAGTTGTACCTTCTCTATGCTGAGCCTCTTCCATTTTTGTATTCGCAGCTGCAAAAGCAATTTGAGATTTCCTTGAGGCTTCCATTGCAAAATTTACATCCTGTAGCTGTAGATAGCCACCTTTTAAGAAGCTAAAAGCAAAAATAATATATATATATATATTAGGTAGGAAGGCCATGGTTTGTGTGTATGTGGTACTCGCCCCTGATAACTTTCAAGATAGTATAGAATTTGAGTTGAAAGTAGAGAAATAGTTTGAATTGAAAGTAGTAAGTTCACAAGAAAGTAGAGTTGGAGTTGGAAGTAAGTAATACACAAAAGAAAAAAAATTTAATAGAATTCTCAAGTTTACAATTGCTTTATTAGTTTGGCTAAATGATGCCTCACATATTATAGACCTTCAAATATTCTATACATATGTCAACAATCCAATGGTGTGGAAACTTTCTAGATTCTTCCATCATAACCAAATGATTGCCTCTCATATTTACAGACGTTCAAGGCTTTAATTGATAGTCCAGATATGTATAAATATCAATAATATAGTAGTATGAAAGCTATCTAGATCCTTCCACCACCTTATGGTGGAAAATTTCTACAATTATCTCCCTAATTATAGGGATTTCTACAAAATTTTACATCAATGTAGAATCAAATTCATAACTCAAATATTTGATAAAATTCACAAGTTGTGACATTATCCCCACCTAATACAACCACATCCTTAATGCACATTCTTCGTGAAGGCTTTGGATATTCTCTTTGAATTGTTGTAGGAGTTTTGCTAACTCTCAACTTGTCAATTTCAAGTAGTCCATTCCATTTTCCTTGGTATTTTTAACACATCATTGGAATTCCTACTCATTCCAAACTTTTAAAATATCCAAATTCAACCTTTTAAATCTCCAAATTCAAGACTTAGTAGTATAATTTTCTCTCAATAAATGCAAACTATAAAGATAGCATTGTAAGCAAGAGACAAAATTATTTACGATTGACCCATATAAACACTAACTTTATAGCCAGTCAATAAAGAGATGACACATAAGCAAGAGAGTGGACTCTCTGATAGTGGGATTGATCTCTCAAATTAGTCAGTCATTATGGCAAGATACTGATCCAAAAAATATATTTTGTAAGTGGGTTGAGGAAAGATTAAAAACAAAGAACAACTATGAGTTGCTTGGACTTTTTGGTGATTCAACATCACATTGTTGTCCTCGAACCCCTTACGGCCATTGATGGACACCTATTAATGACTTCATAATTTTATGAGACTATTCCTTTTGAATGAAAAACATGGAATTAATATGCCCAATGACTGAGGAAGGGAGGGGCATATTTTTGAAGATTTAATTTTAATTTCTACATTTATATTTTAAATTTGTTGATAGAAATGGCAAAGAAAAAAAAAAGAAAAGAAGAAGATAAAAAGTTCATAATTCTAAAAGTTGGAGAATAACAAATGTCTTCAAATAATAATAAGTTTGAGAAAACTTCACAACAATTTCCGTGTCTTCATTTATTTTTAATTTTTTATATTTTAATTAAAAAATTATTTATTTTGACATACCTAATATAAAGGGTAAATTATAATTTAACCCCCTTTGGTTTACCCCAAAAACACAGAACCCCCTTGTAGTCTCATTTGTAACACTTATTTTTTTCTCCAAGTTCTTTTCATCCACTCATTCTCTTGCAAGTTGTATTTATCAATCAAAGAATTCCAAGCTTCAATTAATTCATGCTCATTCTCGTAGTCATAAATGCAAGCTTTTAAATCGCTACTAAATTTTGAACCACTCTTGAACAAGTAACCCAAGTCAAAATAAAGTGCAACTCTATGGTAGAAACACACCCTAAGTGGATCAAATCTAAGAGAGAAGGTGAATAGGGAGAGAGAGAAGTCGGACCTAGGGTTTGGAATCAAAAAGAATGTGAAAAAGACTGATCAAAATCCGCTGTTGCGTATATAAACTGGACAGGCTCGCTCGAGCGAAGACTTGGTCGCTCGAGCGACCAGACACAGAGAAACTACGCTCGAGCCAAGGAAGCCTTGCTCGAGCCAACAAGCCAAAAGCTCGCTCGAGCGAAAGAAAGCTCGATCGAGCGAAGAACTCAAACCCTCAGGTCTGTAACCAGACACACGCTCGAGCGAAGGAACAATTGCTCGAGCGAAGAACGAACTAACTCGCTCGAGCGAATAAAAGCTCGCTCGAGCCAAGAATGCAAAGCTACAGGTCCAAACCAGAAACAAACTCTCGCTCGAGCTACCAAACCCCGGCTCGAGCGAAGAACCAAAAACAACAGCTCGCTCGAGCGACAAACTCCTCGCTCGAGCGAAGATCCAAAATACTGGACAGCAACACTTGATTTCTAAACCCAACCAACCTGAAACAAACCTGCCCAACACATCCTATAATTCCAAATGAGAAATAAGGGACAACAACAACCGTTATACAATGACAGAATCTACGGAGCCTAAGTCCGGATACAATAATCAAATGGGAGAAGACCGGGGTCGCTATATTATCCCCACCTAATACAACCACATCCTTAATGCACATTCTTCGTGAAAGCTTTGGATATTCTCTTTGAATTGCTGTAGGAGTTTTGCTAACTCTCAACTTGTCAATTTCAAGTAGTCCATTCCATTTTCCTTGGTATTTTTAACACATCATTGGAATTCCTACTCATTCCAAACTTTTAAAATATCCAAATTCAACCTTTTAAATCTCCAAATTGAAGACTTAGTAGTATAATTTTCTCTCAATAAATGCAAACTATAAAGATAGCATTGTAAGAAAGAGACAAAATTATTTACGATTGACCCATATAAACCCTAACTTTATAGCTAGTCAATAAAGAGATGACACATAAGCAAGAGAGTGGACTCTCTGATAGTGGGATTGATCTCTCAAATTAGTCAGTCATTATGGCAGGATATCGATCCAAAAAATATATTTTGTAAGTGGGTTGAGGAAAGATTAAAAACAAAGAACTATGAGTTGCTTGGACTTTTTGGTGATTCAACATCACATTGTTGTCCTCGAACCCCTTACGGCCATTGATGGACACCTATTAATGACTTCATAATTTTATGAGACTATTCCTTTTGAATGAAAAACATGGAATTAATATGCCCAATGACTGAGGAAGGGAGGGGCATATTTTTGAAGATTTAATTTTAATTTCTACATTTAGATTTTAAATTTGTTGATAGAAATGGCAAAGAAAAAAAAAGAAGATAAAAAGTTCATAATTCTAAAAGTTGGAGAATAACAAATGTCTTCAAATAATAATAGGTTTGAGAAAACTTCACAACAATTTCCGTGTCTTCATTTATTTTTAATTTTTTATATTTTAATTAAAAAATTATTTATTTTGACATTCCTAATATAAAGGGCATATTATAATTTAACCTCTTATGGTTTATCCCAAAAACACAAAACCCCTTGTAGTTTCATTTGTAACAGTTAAACCCCTAGACTTTATATCATGTTGTAATTTTTGACGGACGTAACAGAAGTGCACAAAACGACCACTTGATAAAAAATAAAATTAAAAAAAAAAAGAAGAAAAAACAAGAAAGAGAGAGAGAGATTGCAACCACACAGAGAGAGAGAGAGAGAGAGAGAGAGAGAGAGAGAAAGAGAGAGAGAGAGAGACAAACACTCTACCTTTCCCTCCAATGGCCAAAACCAAAAACCCAACAAAATCCACCAAGAAAAACCAGCCCATGATTCCATAGCTTCCGGCGAAGTTAGTGTCTCTTCATCAGGGAATCAAATAGTTCTTCCAAATCCACCACCAGAAAAAGAAAAGAAGAAGAGAAATCTCCTCGGAATGCCAGGTAAAATAACCAAGCTAACCCTTCAAAATCTCTAATCAAATGGTGGTTCATATAGTCACGTTGAATTGAAATTGTGTCCTTTTTATTTCTTTTTCAGATACAAATGCAGGGGTGATTGCTCTATCCCCAAAGACTCTAATGGCAACAGATTGATTCATTTGCGAAAGTCATGGCCGCCGAGCTTTTTGTACTCTGGAACGATTGCGAAAGCAAAGGCTATAGAGAAAGAGAGAGCTTTGGCAGCTGTGGAGTTCTTGAATCGGATCTGAGTTGGGTAAAAGACATGGCCGATCAATCGAACCGTGTCGTTGGTGAGTTGGAAGAGACCATTGTTGTGGATCTCTACAACACCGTTTAGGCTTATGTTGTTATTGTTGGTAAAACCCTTGAAGCCATTGTAGACGAAGCCATTGTTGAGAGGAAAGAGAAAGAGCAAGAGAAAGAGAAAGATAAAGATAAAGATAAAGATAAAGATTGATTTGGCCATGAAAGAGAGGACAGAGCTCAAGCACATGAGGGGAGAGGACAGAGGTCAGAATATGTTAAGATGTAATATGACCAACTCTATTCCTGAGAGTGATTGTAGAGAAAATGAAGGCTCTGTTTGGTTTAGATTTCAAAATATAGTTCCACTAATTTGAGTGTGGTATTTGGTTGCAACTTTTAAATTATAATTCTACACTCATTTCTCAAAACTCATTTCAAACTATAATCATTACTTTTCAAAACTCATAACCAAACACACAACTCAAAACTCTTTTCAAAACTCAAAAACAACTTAATTTTTATTTTAAATATTTTATTTTATTTTATAGGAATATTTTTAATATTTTAATTTTCATAAAAATATTTTAATATTTTAACTTTAATATTTTGATATTTTAATTGTAAATATTTTGATTTTCGGAATATTTTTAATATTCTTAATATTTTAATTTTCGGAATATTTTTAATATTTTATTTTTCAAAATATTTTTAATATTTTAATTTTCTAAATATTTTTAATATTTTAATTTTCTAAATATTTTAAAAATATTTTTAATGTTTATACAGGCCTAAAAAATGAATTGTCAGAAAAATTAATTAACATAAAATAATTGACATAGAAGTTATTTGAAAAAAAATTTATTCAAAAAAATTACTTAAAAACAATTAATTAAAAAAAATTATTTTTCATTTGAGTATTTAAAAATAGTTTGGTTATGACTGTTGATAAAAAATACGGATATCGAGTTGTGTGTTTGATTATCAATTATAGGTTGAATTAAGTTTTGAAAACTATTTTGAAAACTCATCACCAAACAAATTTTCTTATTTCACATGTCACATCAAACTTTCAAAATTCAATTCTACATACAATTCAAAACTCAATTCAACACTCTATTCAAAAACCATAACCAAACAAATTTTCTACACTCAAATCATAATTCCACAACTCATAAATTCAAAATACAAGTCATACTCTCAAATCATATTTACAAAACTCTACCAAACGCAACCGAAATCTCTCTGGTTGCAATCTCTCTCTCTCTCTCTCTCTCCTTTTTTTTTTTTACCAGGCGGTGTGCACTTCTGTTACGTCCCGTCAAAAATTATAACATGGTATAAAGTCTAGGGGTTTAAGTGTTACAAATGAAACTATAAGGAGGTTCCGTATTTTTGGAATAAACCACAGGGGGTTAAATTATAATTTACCCTAATATAAATATTAAAATTTTAATATTTATGAGAAATATGAAAATTTTCACTAAAAAACAAAAAATATGAAAATGTGCTTATTTTTTCTTTTCTTTTTTCACTAAAAAACAAAAAATATGAAAATGTGCTTATTTTTTCTTTTCTTTTCTTTTTATTTTTAGTAAGCCTTTTTTTTCCCTTCAAATTTCTTCACATTTAAAAAAAAATAAAAATTTAGCTGCATCTGGACTAAGTGTATTAAAAAAAAACAATAAATACAAAAATCATGAAAAACAAAAGCTAAAAAATAAATTTACTGTTTGAAAACCATACAATGTATTTCGGGTCATTTACTAATGTTTTCATTGGTTCAGTAGAATAAAATGATAATTTCTTCAAAATATTCATTCTCATAATTGGTAAACTAAAAAATTATGAAGATCCATTGTAAATAAAATTATCATTTACCATTATAAAATAATTATTATTTCATAGAAAAATAAGAATGACCATTCCATTCCATTCAATCTTTTTTCAGTGAACCAAATATTATTTCAAATTATTCTCAAAAAAATAAAAATAAATAAATTTCTCTCACAGAACTAAATGAAATAAAAGATTAAATATATGATAGGAATTTTGAATTATAATGATCCGTTTGTTTGGGTGGAAAAACATTTTCCAGAAAATGTTTTTCGCATTTTCTGCCGTTTGGTATAACAGAAAACAGAAGTCAATGGAAAATATTTTCTATGGGAAAACAAGTCTATTTGGGCGGAAAATGTGTTCTACTTTTAAAAGGCAGAAAACGTTTTCTGAACTAAAGTTTTAGTACCACTACATTACAACCACTACCATCACCTCCACCACCACCACCACAGCCACAACCATAGCACCACTGTTGCTGCCACCACCACAGCCACTACCACTACCATCTCTACCTCATTACCACCATTACCACCACCGCCTCTAGCACCACCCCCAACACCTCCACCCTACACCACTAATGCAACCATTAGTGCATTAATTTCACAAAACGTGACCAAACATAAAAAAAAAAAATATTTTCTATGAAAAACATTTTATGAAAAAAAAATTCTATAGGAAATGTTTTTCGGATTTTTTTTTTCAGAAAACATTTTTCGTCAAAACAAATGAAATGGTATTATATAATACAAGTTATATCATGTGCTAAATAGATAAAATAAAGAATTAGATGAAATAAGTGTACACTTTTTTATTATGTTTGATTATGATTGAATAAAAATGTGATTATTTTTTTTATTATTGGTGAATTACTATTGTGTTAATGATAATATGGTAATTAATGTGAATGTAACATTTTCTTTTTTAAATTTCTTCTTGTAGTTGTCAAATAATTTTTTTTAAACTCTAACATGGTTGAATTTTTAACAATATAAAAATTGACACATAACTTGTCATTGTGAGGTAAATTGTAATTCTTAAATTGTAAGGTGGTGTGATAAAATTAAAAACTGAAAACTAAAAGCTAAATACTGAAAATTAAGTAATAAAAATTAAATGCTAAATTTTTTAAATTAAAAAGTTGTTTCATTAAAAAATTAAGTGTCGAACTAAAACATATTGTTTAATATATACAAGATTAAATTTAAAATTTATTATTTTTAAGTTGTATTGCAACAACAATGACGACAATATCAATTAGGGCTAGGCATGGGGTGATCCGACCCGCCCAAATCGCCCTACCCGAACCGAACCGCACGCTTGTGGGCGGTTTCGCAAACATATTAGGGTAGGGTGTGGTTTGGATTTTATATAAATTTCGAGTTGCGGGCGGGTTGCGGGTTTGAACCGCACCCGCCCAACCCGCCCGCATTAAATTAATTAATTAATTAATTAATTTTTTTTTTCTTCTTTCAAATCTAACCGTCCAATGTCCATCATCATCTCACTTACTTACCTCATCTATACACCAAACCAAACAAAACAAAAAAAACCCTAATCTAATCGTCTCCCTCCCTCACTCTCTCAGTCTGCTCTCTCTCTCTCAGTTTCTCGTTGTTCATCTCTGCACCGATCACTCTCTCACTCTCTCGTTGTTCATCTCATCGCACCGATCATTGCACCGCCGATCTACTCACAAGTGAACTCTCTCTCTCTCTCTCTCAATCTCTGTCTCTCTCTCTCTCGGCCCGATGGTTGATTTTTTTTTGTTTTATATATATATATATATCAGATATGATCTAATCCCATCAGATCTTGAACCCTATCTCTCTGATCTAATCTGTCTCCCTCACTCTCTCATCTCATCAAATCAGTCTCATCTCTGTCTGTCTTTCTCTCGCCCCGATCGACTCACAAGTAAGCCTCTCTCTCTCTCTCTCTCTCTCACCCGATCTTTGATTTATTTTGCAACATATCAGATCTGTTAATTTTTTTTTTTTGTAAGCAACAGATCTGTTTAATGTATGTGTCTGTGTATTGAAACAGATTTTTTGTATGTGTTTTTTTGTAAGCAACAGATTTTTTTTGTGTATTACAACATATAAGATCTATTTTTTTGTTTAATGTATGTGTCTGTGTATTGAACCAATCTATTTTTTGTAGCAACAGATTTTTTGATTTAAATCTGTCTGTGTATTGAAATTGAAATTGGATTTAATTTTTGAATCTGCATTAAATTTTTTGATTTAATTTTTGATCTTTGAATTGAATCTGTGTATTGGATTTGATTTATTCTGTGAATTGAATCTGCATTGATTTTTGATTTTTGAATCTGTGTATTGAATCTGTGTATTGGATTTGATTTAATCTGTGAATTGAATCTGCATTGATTTTTGATTTTTGATTTTTGAATTTTGAATCTGTGTATTGAATCAATTGGATTGGATGAGCACTTTGGTGACACAGGCTCTTAGTGCCTTGTGGGTATTCTCAGCTTTAACTGCACTGGTCCTTGTAATTGAACAACAAAATAGTATTCTCTAGGAATCATTCGTTAGTGTGCTATTGTGTTAATTCTCTTAGTTGTGATTTAAACATGGTTGTTACTGCTAATCTGGATATCAAATCCTTGAACCATTTCAGAAATTTGTCTTGAACTCTGAGCATGCTTGCTTGTTCTCTAGTTTGTTTGTTTTTTTTTTTGTTGGTGATATTTGCCACCATATGCAGATAATGTTTCATGGAATTTTTTACATGTCTTCTTGGTTTTGAAGAAGCTAAGTAATAGTAAAACAAAATGGGAGGAAAAAAAGGGTTTAAAAATAATTTTTGAAAAAAAGTTCAATCCGCAAACCGCCCGCAACCGCCCGCACATCCGCGAACCCTATCCGCACAAACCGCAAACAGCATTGCAGGCGGTTGCGGGTTGACTTTTTCCCAAACCGCATAGATGCAGACAGGTCCAAACCGAACCGCAAACCGTCCCAAACCGAACCGCGGACACCCCTAATATCAATGGTGATGAAGGTAAAGACATAGTGGTTCTAGTGATGGTGGATGGATAATGTAGTGGATGTAAAAAAGATGGCGACAATGGTGTAGTGATGGTGGTGGTTATAATAATGGTGACAATAGTTGTGGAGGTGAAGGGTAATTGTAATAGTGGTTGACAGATGATGGTAATGCAATGGTGACTGTGATGGTGGTGTGGTGGTAGTAGTGAAATGCTGATAGTACTTATACAATAATAACAATGGTGGAGGTTGTTGTGGTGGCAGTGACAGTAAGAGTGGTGATGGTAGTGACAGTGGCGGTGGTAGAAGTGGTGGCAATGATGGCGGCGGCAGTGATGTTTTAACCATGTATGCCTGTACACAATTATTTATAAATTCAATCAGAATTAAGTAGATATCATACCATTTAAATTTTTGTTAACTTTAGTCCATATTTTAAGAGCTATTTAAACTTTTAAGTGCTGCCCATTGTGATTATCTAACGGATTTAATTTATTTTCACTTAATGCATTTATAAATTCAATTAGAATTAAGTAAATATCATATCACTTAAATTTTTGTTAACTTTTAGTCTATATTTTAACAGCTATTTCTTACATGATACCCATTGTGATTATCAAACAGATTTAATTCATTTTCACTTAATGCATTCAGTTTTAAGTATTGAATTAAGTTATTAAACACCAAGTGTCAATTTTCTATCTATCTTCTATACTATTATTAAGTGAAGGTTAAATTTGGTGTCCAAGCCTGTGGTTGATTCTCCTCATACCAAGTGTCCCTCATTTTTTAAAGGGAAAATTAGTGAAAGATCCCTACCAAACTTTGAGTAGTAGAAGAGATGCAATATATATTTTCTTATTAGCTAAGGGCCCTCACCGCTAACCCAGCCAACTCTCTCTCCCATTTCCATCTCTCTCTCCCTCTCTCTCTTTCTCTCTCATCTCGATGTTCATGGCCCAATCTGGATCGATGAGCATATCACTAGTGGCTCGTTCGACCATAGAATTCACCATCTTTGCTTCAAATTTCAAGCCCTATGAATGTCGGAGACGATTGAAATCTAAGAATCTAATCAATAGTGCACTTTCTTAGTGAGATCACGACGAAATCCAAGGAGGCACCAACTCTTTGCTTTGAATTTCAAACTCTGTGAATGCTCGAGACGATCGAAATCTGAAAATCTGATGAACCGTACACTTTTCCGGCGAGATCACGACGAAATCCAAAGAGGCACCGATTCAATTTGAGTAGATCAAGCCGAAGTCCAAAATCAAAGTAAAACAATTTGCTAACTCAAAAGTGAAAAACAAATTGAAGAGTCTTTTAAACCACATTTCTCTCCTTTGTCTTTAATAATCTATTCTCTCTCTTGTTCTCTGTGTGTGAAAGTTATAAATTTATCTGTGGTTCAAATTTCTCTGTAGTTGAAATTTTTTGTGAAGTTGAAATTTCTCTTTGGATAGTTGAAATTTCTATCATCTCTCTTTAATAATATATTCTCTCTTTTGTTCTCTTTGTGTGTGAAAGCTATAACTTTATCTGTGATTCAAATTTCTTTGTGGTTTAAATTTTTATTTGTGATTTTTAATTTTCTTTGGATTAGATGTATGGATTGGGAAATTAATTGGAATTGTGTTCAAATATGATTTTCTCTGTGTTTTTGAGGAATAGTTAGCAACTTTCTGTGATTTTTTTCTGTGTTTAACATGCTTATAAGTTTGTAATTTTCTCTAGATTTTTATTTGTAGTTTATTATTTTCTTTGGACATGCAAGTATATGATGGCCAAAGAAGATCAACATGACAAAGAAATTTTCTCTAGTTTGAACTCAAAGGAATTTCAATTTTCTCTGGTTTGAATCCAGAGAAATTCTTTGGGAGATCCAGAATTTCTCGGGGAAGTCTAGAGAATTTCTTTGGGGTTGAAATTTCTCTAGACTGATGTTGAAGGACCTTAGATATTATGAAAATATTGAATGTCCTTTATGCCATAAAATCTTAATACTAGGGACCCTAAAAAATAAAATCCCCTTTTTTAATAAAAAAAAAAAAGATAAATGAGAGGAGTCCCTTAAATCTTAAATTTGCTAAAAAAGACATTTGTCACTTGACTGATACACAATATATAATAAATATTTTATTTTATTTTATTTTTACTTATTTGATTTGCACATATATCGCATGTAGCAACCGTTATTATTCCATAAAACAAATAGAAGATAATTTCAGTAAACTAATAAAGAAAAAAACAATTGGAAAAAATCAGGCCTAATTAAAAAAAGCACATGAAACATATTATTAAAATTCCATTGAAATCCTAAGTAAGGTTGGCATTTGATGAAAACAAAGGGTCAAAATGGGCAAAAACAACAAAAAGCAAGCCATGGCACGTTTACGTAAATGAAAGAGTCTCTTATATTATATTATAGATATATTAAACAGATATTCACCTTTTAAGAAGCTAAAAGCATATATATATATGTTAAACTGAATTTCTACGTATACTTACAAAGTTGAGCAGCCGCACCAAACTGGGGCGGTTTCGTGCAGCAACAACATGGTTTGCAGCAACTTGAGGAGGGCTAACACCCTTGGTTAAGGGAACCTTGTCTAATGTTGTTGGGTTGTTTAAGTTATCAACGTCGGAGGCAGAGGAAGAGGGAGATTCACCTAATAAAAGCAACAATGGGAAGCAGGTCATCAACTAAAAGAACTGGTGGAAGCCTAGCATCTCATCTACCACCAGCAAATCACCATCTTTAATATATGATAGAATGACAAAAATAAAAATCGCTAACTTTCACAAAAAAAATAAGCAAATAAATAAAAAGAAAAATGAGGCCACAATTGGGATAAAATTACAATGTACATGAGGAAATATTTGATATTTGGATATTGTTACCTTCAGTATTCTAAGCAGGGAACAGAAGGAAAGAAAAATGTGAATAGGAGAATCTACAGTTGATCGATAACCTACACGTTTGTACTAGAAAGAAGATACCACAAAAGATTTTTGTCCAGCGCAATAAATTTCCTGCTCTGATATTTCCAGTTACTTCAGTTTCTCTTATGGAAGTCATGATTTCAAATGAAATTATAGTACGTATTCATCGGCCTTTCCTCTTGTAAAGAGTGCAATGTCATATCATCACCAAATTCATGTAGAGAATTCCATTTCTAGATTTCAAATTTGAAATTGAAGTGAAAAATATTATATGCTTTTTAAATTTAAGAAATGATTGCAGGGACAGAAGTCAGATTCTAAATGATGAATTACACTTACCACATTTTAGAGTAGCTTCTTGTTCAATTATGATAGGTGGGGAAAAAAAAATGAACTACAGGGCATGGGTTCCAATTCTTAGGAGATGAATTTGGACAAACAAAAAGTAGTGAAACTTTCATGTGAGATGAATAAAGAATTAAAAAAAAAAGTTTCATCCAATGCCATATTTCTCTGCCCAAATACTGACATATTGAACAGATTTTTTGATCAAAATTTATTCTAATTACCAGGAGGAACTATTTGCAAAGCTGTCTGCAAGTCATGCCGATGTCTGCTTGCATTGGTATGCGAGTAATAAATTACTCTCACATATGCCACCTCCATGCATTTGTAGGCCAGAGCAGCAGCAGCAACGTCCTTGGATTTCTCATATTCATGAGCACAAAACCTATCAATTTAAGAATGAATAGCAAGAAGACAAACGAGAGGAAAATTGCATAAGCTTTTCACATTGCACAAAGAAGAAATCATCCATCAAAAATACAAGTAAAAGTTACTTTCCACCCTTCGTTTCAAATACAGTTCTGTAAAGAGTGATGCATTACAAATAGTGGGAAATGATCCATTACCACGTCGAATATATAGGAAAAATTCCTTTCCCCGAATTGGTTGAGCAATATATGCACATGGTTATAAGAGAGGGTATAATGGAAGTTGGAACTATAAAATACTTAGAGAAGAAAATATAGAAAACAGTTGTGAAACCCAGAATGAGGCTTAGGGAATGCCTGTTCAGGTGGAGTGGCATTTTGAGCATTTTGACCTTAGTTGAAATATGCATTTTGACCTTAGTTGAAATATATAGAATCGCACTTTAAGATATAGGAAAGGGAGAAACAAAACCTCAACACAAGTTCAAATATCTAGATTTCCAAACACACAAGTACGGACATATGCTTCTTGGACAGATAGTCACTGAGACAATTCTACAAACCACTTTAAACAAATCACAAAAAAAGCATACATCCCAACGAGAAAAAGGTTGCTGATAGAGCTTTGAGTATTACTCACTCACAGAGTTTTGCTGTGCTACTACACATTTGCATTGACCGAATCATCTCGCCTTGCTTGGCACTCTCGCCATTGCTAGATTCCAATAAAGAGGCTCCATGAAGAAACTTAAGGGCTGCCTGGAAGTGAAGACCTGTACTTTCAGCACTTAATCCAGAATTCTGCAAAAGATACCCAAGTAGGGCCAAGAGTTAGGAAGATGAATCAACCAATTCCACAATTGAAGAGGGAAAAAAATCTAGCGACCTTAAGGCGATCAGCCGAGTGTTAAAGATCCTTTGCCTCATTTACAATATTAGTGGCAGCCTGACAGGAGGAATCTCTTCTGGCAGGAACTGTGGCATCCGCATCCCTGACCCTATGGCCATTAATTGTTGGTTGTCTCGATCTAATCGGCTGATTTCCATTCTGGTTCTTAGACCTTTTTGTGTGTTTTGAAGCCTTCAATGCATCATCACCCTTAGAAGCATCAATTAACAAACTATTTCCTCCATTCTTGAGCTCTATAGAGAGAGATTAACAAACTATTTCATCAATTAACATGCTCTATAGAGAGAGATTCTTGAGCTCTTCATTAGACTAAATATGTTACTTCTTTAATTTGAACATCTACAGCTAAAGGGAAAAAATCCAGAAAAAGTTATGGCATTTGACTTGAGCAAAAGTTGCCAGCGCTCTAAAAAATTCAAGAGAATAATATATTAGTTATGGACATGCATTGTCCATTGACGGTTGCTTCAAGCTCTGCTGCAAACACATTCCTAAGGACTTAGAAGACAAGCAGAAATTCAATTCAAATAAAGTTCATAATGGCCTTTTATATTGGTGTGGAAACAGGTGGTACAACCATGAGATGTCTCTTTAGAGGTTTTAACCAAAGTAACTTTCTTTGGTGGCCAAGGTAAATAGGGTTGGGATCACAAAATATTTATTAATTTCTAAGTGTAGTTTATAGTGTTATATTATTGGGGTAGTTTTTTTGTGGAATTATAATCCATTATTCATACTAATAAAGAAACACAATTTCAAAAGAGGAAATGGTCTCCTGAGCTTGCAAGTAATGTTTTTAATAAATATATGTTATCACACCTTTTCAACTGCCAACCAAAATTCTCATTTCAATGTTCATATTCCTAATTTGTATGTAGTGTGGAAGTCAAAACATGACATAAATTCCTATCGGTATTGGTACATGGAGATAATTGTGTACTATAATGAAAGACTAAAATTCATAAGGATTAATACAAACAAAACCTGGAAGAAAAAGAATATCAAAAGAAAAACTCAATGTGAACTTTTTTGCAGGGAACAAAATACCACAACAATTGCAGAAAGAAAAAAAAAACAAAAACAAAAAGAGCAAATAATATTGAAAAAATCAATCATATTCTTACCTCCCCTTACTGATAAGCTGCAGGCCTCCAAAAAACAACAACAGCAAACAAATAAACCTACAAAAACAATAAATGATAATGAAAAATAAAACAAAAACTACAAGAAATATATATATATAGTTTGCAGGAAGGGAACAAAAATTGCATATTTTCTATTTCTATTTTCATAGGCATATTATCAAACGGGTAGTATGCATAGGAAGAGGCTTTGCCATGAAGAGAATTTATGAGTTATTTTAGTGAGGCATATTATCAAACAATTGGTACGCATAAGTTCTCCACACATTAACAAACACGAAAAACATACCAATCAGATATGAACATCTCAGTTGAAGACAAACAATGAGCATAAACATCGCCAACATGTATTGCAAGAAGACATAAGACAGGAAAATACACCGAGAGAGAGAAGACGAGCATACCAATTATTTTGTTTGCTACATGGTGGATGGCCTTGAGTATAGTGGATGGCGGTGGAAATGCAGTTCTCTATATTTATTCTTCGACTGATGAGAATGAGTCGTTTACGTAGCACACCATCGATGCTGTCAGTTGTCTTTCGTGAGACCACGTGGCTGATAGATTGCAAGCCCATATGGCTTTAAATTTGCATCAATGGCTGTAGGCGGTAGGTGAACCACGTTATTTGAGAGAGAGTTTTAAGGATACTGATGAGCTGTTTGGGAAGGGCTCATTGGCTATATGAGCCACATACGACAACACAGGCTCATTTAGCCACATGTTTTTTTCTACGTTTTTCCTTCCCCCACTTCAGATCGCAGTGTATTTTGGCCTGTATTGATCGTATGTCGTTGTAGAAAATTTTTTATGGTCTGATGGTCTGATGGTATGTTGATTAACTGGTAACTCTTCCAATTGATGGTATGTCATTGTATTGATGGTCTGAACTGATTTTATTTTTTTCTACGTTTTTCCTTCCCCCACTTCAGATCGCAGTGTATTTTGGCCTGTATTGATCGTATGTCGTTGTAGAAAATTTTTTATGGTCTGATGGTCTGATGGTATGTTGATTAACTGGTAACTCTTCCAATTGATGGTATGTCATTGTATTGATGGTCTGAACTGATTTTATTTTTTTCTACGTTTTTCCTTCCCCCACTTCAGATCGCAGTGTATTTTGGCCTGTATTGATTGTATGTCGTTGTAGAAAATTTTTTATGGTCTGATGGTCTGATGGTATGTTGATTAACTGGTAACTCTTCCAATTGATGGTATGTCATTGTATTGATGGTCTGAACTGATTTTATTTTTTTCTACGTTTTTTCTCCCCAAAATCTATTCTTCATTCATACATATTATAAAATTTGGTTTATATTTTCACCAAGTAAATAAATACTTACAATTTCATATTTTTCTGATAAGTACAAAAATTAATTAACGAACTCAAAAAAATTAAAATTACTATACATTTTTCTGTATATTAACAACAAAATTTAATGAATAAATAGTAAGAAAAAAAATTCCTATAATTAAATATTTGTTCTTTATTAATTAACATTTTTCTGTAAGAAAATTAGTTTTTTTCCAGATTCTGTTCTTCATGAATAGACTGACATTGTAATTTAGAATATTTATTTACTTATATTGGTTATTTCAAATTACATTTTTGAATTTTCAGATTCTGTTCTTCATGAATAAAGACTCACATTCTAATTTACATTTTTTAAATTATGTTGGTTATCAAATTAATTTCATTTTGCTATTAATCTGTTGTCTTTGAAGCTCATCTGCCAATCCTAAAGTCTGCTCTAAGGGCATTTCTTCCTTCTGAAAGACAGTTCTCCATATAGCCCACAAATAGCTATTGAACGGACCATTATCAAATTAATTATATTGGTTATCAAATTAATTTCATTTTGCTATTAATATGTTTTCCTCTTTACTACTCTTGATCCATTCCGACCACCACATTGTAAAACAACATGGCCTACCATGACTGAAATCCAATCCCAACACTGAACCTCTTCACACTTTTAACATAATTGGTCTTATATTTTTTAGAATACATCTACGGACCAAACTTATCCCGAAATCACCCAGAAGGGTGATTATGTGATTGAGATTGAATTTGTATAATGTGATATATATGTATAGAATAAATCTGAACTATTAGATGATAATTCTGGATAATTTCTGCATAGTTAAGTTTGGGTTTATAGTATTACTGTATTTTTTACATAATTATGCTGTTATATCAATTAGCCCTTTTTTTTATTAATTGTATGAATGGAAAAAATGATAGTGTCATATTTTTTTGCTAGAAAAAATATTTTTATTTATCTATTAGTATTTATCCCACCATTTTTGTATTAGTTTTGATCATTTTAATCTTACTTAATGGGAGGTCAATCTAATTATATCAAAGATATTGAACTCACTATTTAAATAAATTAAAAAAATTAAATCTGATTTGTTAACAAAAAATTAAATCTAATTTGTTAAAAAATTAAAAAAATCTAATTTGTTAACTAAAATTAAAAAAAAATTTAATATACCCATTCATAAATTGTAATAATAATGAAATCACGAGTTCGTAACTTGTAATAATTGGACAAATGAAATCACCAGTTCATAAATTGTAATAATTGGAAAAATGAATTCACGAGTTCATAAATTGTAATAATAATGAAATCACGAGTTCATAAATTGTAATAATTGAAAAAATGAAATCATGAGTTCCGGGTACGAAATATTTTTACCAAACAAGTATGCCCTTTTTCCATGTGCATGTCAATTGTGGTATACTTTGATCTCCAATGTTAAAAATAAGTACAATCTTGCATGTTATACATATTTTTTTAGTATAGTCAAACACTTGAGGCAACCAACTGAAAATAATTACAATTACATATTTTACAACTCTAGTAATAATAATGTGCATAATTACAATAACATATGTACGTCGGTAACTACTCCTACCAATGTACTACTGATTGGAGATGCACAATACCCTTATCATAATTAAGTGTCCATGATCGGAATCAAAAAGTTTTATTTTGTTCAGATTTGTACGTTTCGTTGTTCATTCATGTACATTTAAAAAAAATTACGCTAATGTTTGTAAATCGTAGCATGGCTTCGTTTACATCTACTGCAACTTCCAGTACATGGCCATGAATGTGTGCCTGTGGACATGGACCCTGTGTTGTTAAGATTTCCAGGTCCACCAAAAATCCAGGGCGTCCCTACTTTGCATGCCCCCGCCCTTTGGTGAGTGACCCATTCTTTTAGGTCATAACTGTCCTTCGTTAACAACCCATGAAACTAATAGTTCCATAATTTGCACTCATCAGCCCTGTGTCAGTTGGATTGGTTGGTGCGATGAACCCAGGCGAGAAAACCAAGACTATGCATCACCCAGGGATGAATTTGTCATGCAGTTGCGGGCTGATGTCATAGACATTCAACAATCCTTCCGTGTCCTTAAGACCATCGTGTATGTGCTATGCATTGTCGTTGTCGTTTTGTTGTTCCGTATGTAAGCAACGTTAAAAAATGTTTCAGTATGTACAAACACGTTACTATGTTTGTTGTTTATTGGTAGTATGTAAAATAGTATGTACGAACACGTTACTATGTTGGTAGTTTCGAAACGGTAGACGTATTAATGACTATCATAACTATGTGCAATACTAACTTCTATGGAACCTGTGGTAGTATAAAATTAATGTGCAATGGTTAACTGCTGCGTTATTTAGCATCCTATCTCTCTATTTCTGTGTTATTAATGTGTAATGGCTTATGAGTTTGTATATAACAACCGTATGTGTGATGGTAATCTTTTGTAACCGAACATTAGTAATGGCTTCCCTACGTACTTCTCCGCGTACCCAATCCAAAAGCAAAGGCGTTGTCACTGACAAGTCAAGCAGTCTTGAAGATACACACAATCATTTAAGCCACAAGGCCACATGGGACAGTGCCTCAATCTAAGTTTTCCTGCAGTTGATTGCAAATGAGATAACTAAAGGCAATCGCCCATTCCTAGTCCTCAGCCAAGCAGGGTACAAGTCCTTGGCAAGAAAATTTGAGAGAAAAACAGAAAGAAAACATGCACTCAAACAGTTGAAGAATAAGTACATGCGTTTGAAAAAAGAGTGGCAAGCGTGGACAAAGTTGATGGATTCAAGCAAAAGAGTGTCAGGGATAGGGTTTGACTGTGACACCGGCATGTTTCAGGCACCTGAGGAGTGGTGGGACAAAATGGAATCGGTAAGTACATGTACTCTTATATTTCATATGTGTCATTTACCAGTACATTTTTAAGTTTTGTAGTTAAATTTTTATTAATTATATGAAATGTAACATCATTCTCTTTCATATATCTCTATTTGAACAGATAAACAAGGTGTGTGCCAAGTTTAGGAAAAAAACCTTGGAACATCGTGACTTGATGGAGACCGTCTTCATGGGGGCATCAGCTACTGGGAAGCACCATTGGACCCCAGGCGAGGAACTTCCTGAAGCTGCTGATGACTCATCTGATTCAGTGCA